CAAGGTTTTATGGTCCTTTGTGTGAAGCGTAGGAAGCACTCTCTTGAAGCCACTGGGTAGATAGGAAGATGTAGCCGTTAGCAAGTAGAGCTGAAAGTAACTGTAAGCATGTAATCTTGTGTTTTATTTCTTTTTATCCAAAGTACCCCACCCATGATTTGTTTTGTAGTAAAGATGTTTTTCTTTTAACTAATGTGACTCTTGTGTTTGCAAAACGACCATCGATCTCGAATCTCAGAATCCCTAACAAGACTGCCAGGGAGGGGGAGCTCACCACCACCTCCCCAGGCAGCTGATTTCCACTCTTACTGTAAATTCCCACCCCCACCCCCACCCCCGCTCTGCAGACGGCACCTTCCCGCCCTTGATGTAAACCCATTCTTGTGAATCCTCTCCTCTGCTGCCAACAGAAACACCTCTCTGCCCTTCTCCAAGTGACGGCCCTTCAGACGCTTATCGTGTCCCCCCTCCGCCTCCTCTTCTCCGGGCTAAACATTCCCCAGTCCCCCCTCAGCCTTTCCTCACGGGGCTTCTTGGCCTCCAGGCCCCCCATCACCCTCGTCGCTCTCCTCTGCACCCGCCCCATCCTGTCCACATCCTTTGTGGCCTCCAGAACTGCACACAGGACTCCAGCTGTGGCCAGACCAATGCCGTGTACAGCGGGACTAGGACGCCTTGCGATTTGGATGTTAAGCCTCTGTTGACACACCCCAAGATCCCGGGGGGGCACCAGACCGTGAAGGAGTGGGATTGCCGGAGGGGCCCTGGGTAAGGCAGCCCCCCACAAGCCCGACCGCTGCAGAGACGAAGCAATCCCCTCATCGGATGATGAAGATCCCCCTTCTCTCTCTGCCGGGAGAAAGGGATTCATCTTCAGGCCCATACCCCAAGATCTTGTTCACACACACTGCTACCCAGAAGCGTATCACCCATCCAGTATGTGTATTCCTCATTTTTGTTACCCGGATGTAGAACTCGGCACTCATCCTTGTTAAAATGCATCTTGGTCACATCCGCCCATTTTTCCAGTGTGTTCAGATCTCGTTGAATTCTATCTCTATCTTCTGGTGCTCCTCCCAATTTGGTGTCATCTTCAGATTCAATGAGTAGCCCTTCCACACCTCATCCAGATCCTTTATAAAAATACTGAAAAGTACCGGGCCCAGAACCGAGCCCTGTCACCCCCACTGGACAGCTGGCGAGAGGCGCAGCGTGGGAAACCCCCAGTTCTGCTGTAGGGAACTGTCCACTTTGATGGGTGGGTGATGGCAGGATTCCTCCTTGAGCTGCAAAACACCTGCCCCTCCAAGGGCGCCAGCCTGCCCCCCCCCCAGTGCCTTGCAGAGGAAGAACCTTCTGCCTCCCCTGAGGGGGGGTTTGCGTGTGTGCTGGCTGCAATCTGCTTCAAGCAGGCCTCTGGACTCAGACTCACTTTCCAAACCAACAAACAGCTGCGGAGAAGGCGGCGGCTGTGCAGAGGAAGCTCTGCCCAGAGGTCTGCTGCACCCGCCTTGAGGCGCATCGGCACAGCCAATGGCCCTTCCTTGCACAGAGGTGGGAGGAGGAGGAGGAGATTGGATTTATACCCCACCCTTTACTACCTGAAGGAGTCTCAGAGCAGTTTACAATCTCCTGTCCCTTCACCTCCCCACAACAGACACCCTGGGAGGTCGGTGGGGCTGAGAGAGCTCTCCTGAGAACTGCCCTTGAGGGAACAGCTCTGAGAGAACTTGTGACTGACCCAAGGTCACACCAGCAGCTGCGTGTGGAGGAGTGGGGAACCAAACCCCGTTCTCCCAGATTAGAGTCCGCACTCCTAATCACGACACCAAACTGGCTCTCAAAAGAGAGTTGGTTTTTGTACCCTGCCTTTCTCGACCATAAGGAGTCCCAAAGTGGCTTACAATCACCTTCCCTTCCTTTCCCCACCACAGACACCCGGTGAGGTAGATGGGGCTGAGAGAGCTCTGAGAGAACTTGTGACTGCCCCAGGGTCACCCAGCTGGCTGCATGGGGAGGAGGAGTGGGGACTCAGGACTGGTCCTCCCAGATTAGAGTCCGTGCTCCTAACTTTGACACCAAACTGGCTCTCAGCAGACCTTCTGTAAAGGGCTCCCTTGAGCCGGGCCAGAAAACCCATGGTTCTCCAGCTGTTTGAAGCGGGACCCTCAGGTAAACAGGCCCTTTTGCAAGGCCACTCCCCAGCGTGGAACCTCAGACCCGCCTCCTCGTGAAGACAGAGCCAGTTCCTCGTCTCTTTTCCAGTCGTCGTGATGCTGGGCCACGGGCGGGGTGTGAAGATTCTGCCCAGGCCAGCCTCCATTTGCAGCGGGGCTCCCCACAGCTGCCCCAGTTCCTACTCCTCCGCCTGCATTTCGGGGTCCCATCCAGTGTTCCCTCTGAGCTGTGTGAGTGTGAGCTAGCCCACAGGTTTCTAGCCTCCGGCTCACACATTTGGGTCTTGGCTCAGGAAGGGATGGGGCTCCAGAAGAGCAAACTCACTGCTGCGGCAGCCAAATCGCTCGCTCACCAATTCACTGCCAGCGGCTCACAAAGTAAAATCTTTGCTCACAGGACTCCACAGCTTAGAGGGAACATTGGTCCCATCCCACATTTTGAGAACCACTGAAGTGACGCTGGCACACGAGCAGACAGCCCAAACGGGAGGGCCCCCCCCCCGGTGTCTGACCAGCCCATGGGTCTCCCCGTGTGTTTGGGAGGTGCAGGACTGAGCCAAGGGGTTACCGGGGGGGGGAATCACCCCCCCCAGCCAGGCACCTGCTCCTTTGCCGTTTGCACTGGGGGGGGGGAGCACACCTGGGTC